GATAATTTACGTATACCGATTCCTTAGACGAGCTTCTGAAAAGTAGACTTGGGCAATGACTTGGTGAAGAGATTAGCCAGGTTATCCTGGGAACAGATTTGCTTGACTTCATTGTTATGATGTTGTTGAGAATAAAAGAATTTTGGCGTTATGTGTTTGGTGTTGTCTCCCTTAATGTATCTCTTCTTTAACTGCTCGATACATGCTGCATTGTCTTCAAAGATCGTTGTAGGAAGGTCAACGACAGAAATAAGACCACTAGTGCTTCGAATATGTTTCATAACTACTCTCAACCAAAAGCACTCATGCGATGCTTCATACAGGGTGAGAATCTCAGTATGGTTCGATGAAATCGCAACTAGCGTTTGCTTGGTAAACCTCCAAGATATAGCGGTGTCTCCAACGGTGAAGACATAACCCGTTTAAGAACGTGCCCTATTTAGGTCAGACAGATATCCAACATCTGCGTAACCAAAAAAGCGAGAATCAACTCGATAACCAAGGGGGGCGGCATGTCCTTTTGAGGATTCATGGGTGTAGAACAAGCTTATATTCGTAGTACTCTTGAGGTAGCGAAAGATGTCTATAACACTATTCCAGTATTTGTGCGTAGGTTCGTTGTTGTATCTAGCGAAAAGATTAACAGTGAAGGAGATGTCAAGTCTAGTGCATTGAGCCAAGTACAATAAAGCCCCAATTGCACTTAGGTATGGAACTTCAGGCTCCAAAATCTCTTCCTCATCCTCCTTGGGATGGAATAGATCTCGTTTAGCATCTTAAGTCCAAACGACCATAGGAGTAATCGAAAGCTTCGCTTTATCCTCATTAAAACGTCACACCACCTTCTGGGTGTAGTTCGATTGATTTAAGGGAACTTTAACGAAAAGCACCCGGTACTGTTCACTTTAACGAAAAACCACATTTTTACACTAAAAAGTCAATCCTGGTACTATTCACTTTACCCTTTATTTTGTCCTTATCATTAAAACTCAAAGTTTTCAAGCCCTTTTCATTAGTTTTTTTTTTATTTAATAGGATTTCATCCGAACAATGCTCGATCTCCAGGCCGAGGCAATATTGAGTTTTCCCAAGATCTTTCATCTCAAATTCTGATTTCAAGAACGTAGCAATTTCCTCAAGCTTTGCAGGAGTTCCAATGAGATTCATGTCGTCAACATAAACTGCAAATATTGCAAATCCGGAATGTGACTTCTTAATGAACAGGCATGGGCATAATTTGGTGTTCACGTAACCCTGACTCGTCAAATATTTACTCAAACAGTTATACCACATATGCCAAAATTGTTTCAATCCGCAGAGTTATCTCCCCAGTCTAATAGAGAGAGTGGTCTGTGGTCTAAAACTATTTGAACCAGTCAATGGAAGTCCTTCTAGAACTTTCATGTATATTTCTGTATCTAGATCCTCATAGAGATATGCGGTTACCATATCCATAAGTTGCATATTCAGTTTTTTAGAAACTACCAAACTGATTAGGTAGAGGAACGTTATGGCATCCATTACGGGGGAATACATCTCCTCGTAATCAATCTCAGGACGTTGAGAGAAGTCTTGCGCTACGAGGCGTGCTTTGTATCACACTATTTCATTCTTCACATTACGCTTCTTCACGAAAACCCACTTGTAGCCCACAAGTTTCACATGTGGTTGAGTAGGAGTTACAGACCCAAACACCTTACGTTTCGCAAGCGAATCAAGTTTGACTTGGATTGCTTGTTTCTAGTTTGACCAATTCGTTTTATGTTGGCATTCATTAACATAATGTGGTTCAATGTCATCGCTAAGTATGATGTCAGTAGCTACTATGTATGTAAATGTATCATCGACGATCACCTCATTCTGATTCAAAACCTCATCCAATACTGCGTAGTGGATCGAAATCTCACGATTCTCGGGAGGTCGGATTGTCTCATCTAAGCCATCACTGTAATATAAAATAACCTCATGTGTTGGAACAGACAAGTGAACGATGGTCGGATTCAAACTAGGGTTACTAGTTGGTGCCAATCTCTTTTTTTAGGGTTGTGAATCATTTGAACCAAGGGGTCTGCCACGATTTAGGGTTGAAGTAGATGATTGGCTAGCCACCAATGTACCAGGATGCGTGGAAGGTGCGGCCTCCCCACCTTCGAGAACCGTCCAGCCTTCCCAGGCGATGTTACGACGTACGCGGGGTACGTCTATCCTTGCAAGTGCGCTTGCAGTAGGTATATGTGATCTTGTCACTTTAGCTAGATTAATAAAAGCATCCGACATGGTTTGAGCAATGCTCTAAAGATATATAATTTTCGTACCTCAGTTTCAGACTGGGTAGTACAGGGATCTAAATGAGACATAGTGGGTGCATACCACGACAATTCACGACATTCTCTAGGAACGTTAGCATGCGTATATCCCCCTAATGACGGGAAGACTGTCTCATCAAAGTGATAATCCGCAAAAACATGCAGTAAAGAGATCTCCTGTCAAGGGCTCTAAGTGACGAATAATTGATGGCGAATCATAACCAACATAGATTCCTATTTTTCTTTGAGGACACATTTTGGTGCGTAGTGGCGGCGCTATTGGCACATAGACTGTGCACCCAAACACACGTAAATGCGAAACGTCAAACTCATATCCAGTAACCAATTGTAACGGTGAACGAGGTTGGGTAGTGATGGGCCTTAGGAAGACCAGCATAGTTGCGTGTAATATTGCATAGCCCCAGGCAGGTACCGGCAATTTAGTTCGCATAACCAAAGTCCGAGCTATCAATTGAAAGCGCTTTATGAAAGCTTATACCAGGCGTTTTGGGTGTGAACAAGGGGTACAAGATGTTCGATGTCAATCCTTACTGACATGCAATAATCGTCAAAAGTTTGTTGCGTAAACTCTCCAGCGTTATCCAGTCGAATCGACTTGATCGGATAATCAAGGTGGTAAGCCCTTAGCTTAATAATTTATACTAAGAGTTTCACAAATGCAATGTTGCGTGTGGATAATAGGAAAACATGTAACCATCGTGTCAATGCATCAACCAACACCATAAAGTATCTAAATGGTTCGCATGTTGGTTAGATAGGTCCACAAATATCCCCTTGAATCCTCTGAAGAAACTTATGGGGGTTGTGAATAATCTTTGTATGTGAGGGTTGAGTATTCAACTTCCCCAAAGAACACGTTTTGCATGGCGGGAATCCAACGGAGAGATGTAAATGATGCCCATGTGATGATTTGAGGATACGACGCATCATATCACGTTCGGGATGTCCCATACGATCATGCCAAAGCAGCAAAGTGCTCTGGAACTTAGGCACAAGGTCGGCCACATGGTGGGCTTCTATGCCGCGAATGGTTGTTATGTATAACCCATTCGAAAGACGTTCCAACTTCTCGTGAATATGCTTCTGGCCATACTCGTAAGAAGTGATCCAAAGAAATTCAGAACCATTCTTTTCAGTGGTTTCAATATGATATTGATTATCTCGAATATCTCTAAAACTCAGCAACGTTCTTCCAGATCGTGGAGAATAGAGGGCATCTTTAATGGTTAAGGATGTACCATTAGACAACATGATACAGGCCTTTCTGTATCCTTCAATCAGGTTGGAAAAGCTTGAGAGAGTCGTCAAAGGTGCTTTCTTAGGTATGAAGTTAGTAAAATAGTGTCGCTTACGCAATATGGTGTGTGTTGTAGCACTATCAGCGAGACAACTAACTTCCCCACTAAACATACATAGAAATAAATTGATTGAATTGGTCACATGCATATATATAATTCCATTCATTCAATTAATCAATTCGATAAGTAATATCTATAAAATAATTATCCAGAATTAAAAATAAACCAAAACCAAACAAGTTATTCCAAATACTTAGAAAAATTGTCCAAAATTAAACCATAAACCTAAAAATTAGGGGGGGGGACCGGCCAATCCTAGTGGGTTCAACCACTAGGGGTAAAACACCATAAAATATGTCAGTTTTTATTAGGTATTATTTATATTTAATTTAAATAAAAATATTTAAAATAATTTCTGACCGCACAATGTACGATGAACGGACAAGATTAACAGATTCCCGGGATCTTCATAAAGAGGATCCGGATTCAAAAGCCAACAGATTGTGGGGCTTGTCCCCCTCACAACTGCTTGTAGACACTTATCCTAATCTGTCTTCCCCCCAGTTTAGCAGTCCCCGTTTCGAGCATCCGTATCACCGAGTAGTTGCCTCAAACTCTTCTAAGACCTATTCCTTCCTTCTCATGTGCTATCCTCTATAGACAGGCTACTGAAAAATCTTTATATGCAGAGTTTTGCTAAGAATGGGTTGAGCGGACCTGTAGACTTCTAAAACTGAGCTCACCACGAACCCCTCTGTCAGGGTAATGCATCAGAGATGATCCTCTGCTCATGAGAGCAGTCGGATCTTTGAATATGTTCTGGGGTCTAATGCTGGCGACTCTCCAGGCGGTCCTACGAGACGCTCGGTCGTCACCTTGGTTTTCACTTTCAAAGCTGATGCTCTTACATGGTATTAGAAAAAGACTCCCAAGTGACAAAACATGCTATAGAATGGTTAAATTTTCATCATTGTTTTTTAATTTCCACTTATTTATCTACCATAAAAAAAAAAAATTAACCATGATAATTTTGCATAATAAATTTATATTTAGAGAGAGATGGTAATGCTAGCCAATCGAGGTCTCAAGTATTCCTTGACTGGTGTGAGTGTGTTTCTTTATTATTCTCGACTCATTTTTTCAACACATAACATTGTACTATTAAATTAAAACGTCACGTGATCGTACACCCGTTCTATATAAGTTGTTTTCCTCTTATTGGGCCTGGTGTATAGCGTATACATAAATTTCCCAAGTAAATATTGTATGCTTGTATCTAAAGTGGCATTCCTTGCAATGTTTGCAAAAGTTGTGATTTCCTACGCTGTTAGAGGTAGCTCAAGTAATGAGGGCCGGTATGTAGGAATATGCTAGGTCAAAAGTTAAATTCTCTTCCATTATAACCAAAATGAATATGTGGTATTTCCACATAAACATTTGCTGAAAAATGTCGGTCAAATATTTTGGATCTTCATGCAACAACTATTTGCTTATAAAAAGTTTGATCCAATAAAATTGGACATGGACATCCCTGCCTGCTAGCAGAAAATACATACTCAGAGAAACCTCAAACCACACGTTTATATATTGTCCATCATCAATGAGAATAGAGCGCAGATACTGAGATACATAAACCATAAACGAAGTAGAGAACTCGGAGAAATAGTTGCTGGATCACTAATTTCACTTCAAGACACTGCAACAGATCAAAAGCACAATCATTAAAACCAAAGAACGCTGGCTTAAACATTTGAAGATTACATTATTCATATACATTGTGCCTTGTATAAATTTGAAAAATCAATTAAATTCTGCTAAAAGGGTAGCACAAGAAGACGACATCAGTGGAACAAAATATGTGTCAGACCATTACTCTTAATGCAGCTAGCAAAGAGATCAAACTTACTTGTACAAATAGGCGGCGATTCCTAAAATCAGAATCAGGAGGGTGATATCGATGCAAAAGTTCCGGCTAGACCTCAGCTATAGCAGAACGTTGATAAGGGTGTGAGGAGGTGATATCAATGTAACAGTTTCGGTTCACACGTCTAATTTAAAAAAACGCACACAATGCATTTACCTTGACTATGGTATCCTTGAGTCTCACATTAGTGTTTTTAAGGTCAGCATTTGCCCTGTCAACCTGGAGTGGTGTCGAAATAGAGCTCAATTATCGCATTTAAACCACTTACCACTTGATGCAATCAACATCAAAACGTAACAGGAAAATAAAGAGTTCACGATTTCCAAATAATGAAGTTTAGAGTTTTCTAATAGATGAACGAAAGAAAATGACTTAGAAGGCAGAGGGGTTACCTTATCATCTATTTCATCCATCAAGGGAACTTGTCTATCTATTTCCTGTACATAAAACATATACAATTTTAACAGTCACCATGCAAAAAATACGTGAATTGTTAATGGTATGAACAAACCTCATTCATGTCGCTGGCCATATTTTTCAATGTGTCCAATCCTTCTGCTATAACATCTAGACCTTGATCCTGAGTTAAAGTCAAATTAATATTCGATGTAAGATTGCAGCACGTACTATGTCAAGCAAAAGTGACCAACAATTCCAATCTTCAAGCCGTATTGCAAAGAGAATTATTTAACTAAATGGTGCAACAAAAGAATTTACAAGAGGAGCTTAGATTCCAGTCTCGCAAGTAAAGCATTTTAAGCATGTATCTAATAAGTGAATCAAAATGAGAACTTCACAAACAAGATCAGTAATTTTAATCACAGAGTAATTAGAAATCTCTACCACATCTCTCGTTACAGAGAAAGTACAATAAATGAGAAGCACTACTTTGGATAGAACATGCTATACGAATACGTGCCTGTTTCATTCTTCGCATTTCATACTCCTGCCTAAAGCGATCCGACTCCTCAGTTTGTTGAAAGTACTCATTATCAGATCTCCTATCTGACATAATTTAAGGCATTAAGAAAAGTTAAAAGTGATTTTAGTTCTCTTAACCATGGAAACTTTGGTCACAACCTTATGCTGATTGCATGATTACCTGAATTCGAGTCAATTTTGATTCCAGCGTACGGAGCTGAATCTGTCCAACCACCAGTTTGTTTAGCTGCAGTCGTTGATCCATCTGGTATTCCTTCTATCCTCTCTTTTAGTACAAATACTAACTCGCTTCGAGCCTCAAGGTCTTCTTTGGAAAGCCCTTTGACCTATGCATGGTTAATGATTGTATTTCATAATAATTAGTTATACACAAAGACGGCACAGAATAGTATCAGAAAATAAAATATATAGGGAATTGTAATTAGCACATCACAAATGTCATTATGCACCCCTCCCTTCTATATAACATACGGAAGAAATTGCGCTACGAGGAGTGTTGGTGTGCCAATAATATCTTTCAATAGACAATATTATGATCAACACACAAAATGCAACCGCCATATTACGTGTATAATATTTTAGTACTGATTCAGTATAGTATCCTAAATTTCTAACCAAATAATCAATTTCTCTTGTGGATTGATTGATGCAATGAAATCTGTTTATACCATATTTAGGGCCTCGTATATTTGGGCCTTGGGCCTTGTATTTAGGCCTCACACTAAAGCCCATACTTTGTAAAGGAGGAGGAGCCCCTTATTCTATAAAAGGGGACTCCTACCCTCATTCTAAAGGAGGCAAAAGAGCCAAGCCTAAGAAGGCTAAGAGAAGCTCTCATTACATTCAGGAGAGACCTCACACCACCGAGGCTCTCCTCTCCCTTCTCTTCTTTCTCTGGGGGACTTCCCCCAAACACTTGTATCCATACACTTACAGAGAAACAGAATCAACTACAGTGTGGACGTAGCCCAAACATTGGGGTGAACCACGATAAAATCCTTGTGTTCTTTGATTTCTTTGTGTTCTTTGTGTTCTTCGTGTTCTTGAGCGTTTGTGCAGATTCACGGTCGGATTTACGTTGTTCCAAGACCGCCCCGGTTTTGTGCATCAACATTTGGCGCCGTCTGTGGGAATCGATACGAAAAGTTGTGTCGGTTCTCTTTCATTTTTTCACATCCACTGTGAATTTGCAAGAACCAGAACCTCCTGTCAACTACTCTGTGTACATGGTCCAGCAGCAGAAGAATTCACAGTGCTAAATCCTAACTGCCAAAAAAATAAAAATAAAAAAACTCTTCATCAGAACATCACGTTGCAGGTTCTTGGTTTTCCCAGTAATCACTTCACAGGGTCTCGATCGCTCCCTCTCAGATTTTCTGGAGTTGGAGCCGCTGCAGTGCATTTCTCGGCTCCATGTTGCTGTCGTGGATCAGTTTTCCGGAGTTGCCAGCCGAAATGGGCCCAACCAAGTCAATCTCAAAACCCCAAATCACTAATCACGTGCATCAAGATCTCTGCTCTGATCTCTGACGCCATCGACCGCGTCAAGATCTCTGACGCCAGGCCCAACATCATCCACGCCTTCGCAGGTACCAACATCGCTGCAACCATCACTGTCGAAAACGGCGACGTTCTGGCCCTTGCCAAGCTCTTCGCGGCGCAGTCATGAGTGGCCAACAACATCATGCCGTTCCACCCGCCCTCAGGCTTTGCTCTTCCGCATCGAACCTGTGCTCCTCCTGACGAGCCTGCCTCTTAGTGCTGCTGCAGTGGGAAATGTAACGAAAAGCAAAGATGCTTTGTGCTCATCTTAAGCATCTCAGTCCCTTGAACTCAGTTGTTACAGCACCAGCAAAAACCACCTATCCAGATCGTGCCACGTCTGTCAATGGTAGACTAGGGTTGTTTCAAACGACTGCTCCAATGAAACTATTCCCTGCTGGTTTCTTGTGCATGACTGAGGTGGCACAATCTCAGCCGTTAATTGTGGTTTCATCAACTACCAAGCCATCCCAGAGCATCACCATTAATCATCACCCAAAGATGATGACAAGAAGATCAGAGGGACGGTGCTGGTGATGAAGAATAATGTTTTGGAGCTCAACTCAGTTTCAGCGTGAAAACCAGCAAAAAACGTAGCAGATGCCGGTAGTGATTGTGAAGATCCTCATGCCGAGACGACGACAAGGGGCCGGGTAGGCAGGAACCATTATCGAGTTTGGAGCAGGATGTCGGATCCATTGGCGGGTTGAAGAGAGAAAGCTAAGCAGGACATGGTGGGATCGGATCAAGAGGTATTGTAGAGAAAGATACTCACTGTACGCAGAAAGAAAAAAAAAAAAAAAAAAAAAAAGTGTTAGTGGAATTGTAAACAATTCCACAAAGAAGTGGAAGACTATTCTGCACCTAAAAAGAAATGGAGGGCACGACAAAAGAAAAAGAAAATGGAGGAAAGGAATAAAGAAAGAAAAAGGTGTTAGTGGAATTGTAAACAATTCCACAAAGAAGTGGAAGACACGGCAAAAGAAAAAGAAAATGGATGTCTGGAGAAAAACAGAAACAAAAGCAAAAGGAAAAGAGAAAAGCAAAAGATTTTTCTATTATTATGATTCTTTATGTCTGCCAGAGACAGAGAGAGTGCAGAAGAAAAATACTGCAAAAGTAAGGAATAAACACCCCACCAGAATGATGTAATTTATTTTCCTTATCTTTCGGAAACATATGTATAAACCCCATCAGAGGGTACAAAAAAAAAAAAAAAAAAAAAAAAAAAAGGGCAAAGCCCAAAATAAATGGGCTGGAATGTTGCGTGGAGGGCAAAGGCCCATAAGCCCAAAATAGCACCAACCCGGTGACTAAAATTACATCCAGTACTACAAAAATTATTCGGCACCCTGCCGCTACTACCACCAACCAGGTGATCAAAAGTACGCCCAGTACTCCAAAATTATTCGGACCAACTAGGTGATCAAAAGTACACCCAGTATTCCAAATTATACATGAGCATTACTCATGTCATTCATACATAAACATTCATGAGCATCACTCATGACAATCATACATAAACATTCATGAGCATCACTCATGTTAACATTCATGAGCATCACTCATGACAACATTCATGAGCATCACTCATGACAACATTCATGAGCATCACTCATGTCAATCAACATAAACATTCATGAGCATCACTCATGTCAATCAACTTCAAAAGCTTCATTTCAGAGCTCTAGCTTCAAAAGCTTCATTTATAAAAGCTCCAGCTTCGAAAGCTTCATTTACAGAGCTCTAGCTTCAAAGCTTCACTTGCAAAGCTTCACCTACAAAGCTTCAGTGCAGGGTATACAAATACCGCATCCGAACAACCGCCACTTCGGCCCATACATGGATTCAATTTGAAGTCTCCAGCCAACAGACTCTATTGATCGAAGACTTGGGGGACATTATGTACCATATATTAGGCCTCAACTGGGCCTCATGAAAAATACTTGGGGGACTTAGCCCATTATTTATGTATTGAGGAGCAAACCCTTATTCTACAAAAGGGACTCCCCTCACCACTATTAGAGAGCATCAACTCTAGCCCATCATCCATGTATTGAGGAGTGAGCCCTTATTCTATAAAAGGGACTCCCTCACCTTCAAACGCCACAAGCCGAGCCAAACAAGGCAACATAAGCTACAAGCAAAGCGGCCTCACAACATGTGCTACTTCTAGTTGAACATCATTTCAGATTGGGCACCGCCTCATATCGAGCATCAGTTCTAGATGACATTTAGTTACTTCGGCCCACACATGGACTGAATTTCAAGTCTCCAGCCAAAAGACTCTCTTGACTGAAGACTTGGGGGACTACTGTTTATACCATATTTAGGGCCTCGTATATTTGGGCCTTGGGCCTTGTATTTAGGCCTCACACTAAAGCCCATACTTTGTAAAGGAGGAGGAGCCCCTTATTCTATAAAAGGGGACTCCTACCCTCATTCTAAAGGAGGCAAAAGAGCCAAGCCTAAGAAGGCTAAGAGAAGCTCTCATTACATTCAGGAGAGACCTCACACCACCGAGGCTCTCCTCTCCCTTCTCTTCTTTCTCTGGGGGACTTCCCCCAAACACTTGTATCCATACACTTACAGAGAAACAGAATCAACTACAGTGTGGACGTAGCCCAAACATTGGGGTGAACCACGATAAAATCCTTGTGTTCTTTGATTTCTTTGTGTTCTTTGTGTTCTTCGTGTTCTTGAGCGTTTGTGCAGATTCACGGTCGGATTTACGTTGTTCCAAGACCGCCCCGGTTTTGTGCATCAACAAAATCATTATTCACTAAATCCCAAACCAGTAAGTATTTTTTATTGAAAACTTGGAGCAAGTTGTAACATTTCTTGGAAACCAAGAAAAATGTTGAATATGACATAACTTAATTATATGAACATTCAAGGATTAAACCTTTTTAGGAGCAAGTCTTCGCAATTTGGGGAGCTCTTCAAGCAAACGAGCCTTGGTTCGTCGAATCTCAGCATTCATAGCAACAGCAGTAGCCCTGTTCCTCTCCGTTGATACCATCTCTGATTTCTACAAATACCAACAATTAGACAATTCATAATTCATCTGGACATAAGCTCAGTTCGGTAAACACCGATAAAAATGAGAGAATAGAAAACGATTAAAGCTTTAATTTCTGTATTTCACCAAACTTTGGTTCACAGAATAATCTCATACTATTACCATAATTTCATTTGGCCTTATGTTTATTTGGCTTCATATTCTATCCTTTCCTTTCCTTTTGACATCACTTCGGTTTTCTCAGAAATCATATGGACTAAAAGGCTAACAAAAACTAAAACACAAAATTGTTTTTGTTTTGAAGAAAATAGGAAAATGATTTCCACGGAATTTTTTTTTCTCTCTACGCATATATCTTTATTTTTGACCTTAATACATTGAATAAAGCCAAGGAGAAGCAACAGATAAAAATAATCAGGAATACATGTTAATGAAAAAGGATGTGCATAAACTATCTCATAAATATTATTGTCACAAAAACCTACCTAGCACCCTTCACATGAAACATGGAATTGAGAATTCTATGTACGTTTTTTTCTTATTTTTCCCTTCCTCTACTTCAACTAATTAATTTCTCATCAACCAACCAACCAGGCACATGCTTAGTTTGTTAAGGAAAGAAAAATAATAATAGAGAGAGAGACCTGGAGAGCAGCATCGAGGTCGGCCTCAACGGCCCCATATAGGCGAGCAAAACCATCGTCCCCAGAAATATTATTAAGCTCCTTTTGCTTATCTATGTCGTACTTGTCGTATTTCTTGCATATTGCATCAACCCTCGTTATCAAATCGATCACACTCATCTCTCTCTCTGAGTTGTCAACTGATCAGAGACTCTTGTTGCACTCGTTGGTTTTCTGGGTTCAGTCGGAGGAGGGCAAAAATGTAGGCCAACTAATTACGTTGACCGTTTTGATTCTTTAAGAAATGAAATGAAAAAGAAACGTAAGAAAAGACAGCGATAAGGAAAGACAGAGAATGGATGGAAGGCAATTAAGTTTTGTGATATGAGTATTTTAATTCCTTAATTGTTGTACGGCGGAGATTATAATGTAATAATCGTAGGCCCACAAAGCAGGATGTTGTTCTAATTTATTTTCTTTTGATGTTTGTTTGGAATTTCCTATGTCTGATTCTGACAGGTGTACTTGTATGATGTACTGTGTACAGCACTCGAACACTGATTGCATTCGGGCTATTGTTGGGGCCTAAAAATATCATAAGCAAACCCAATTAAGTTTCCAACATTAAAACCAAAGAACGCTGGCTTAAAAATTTGAAGATTACATTATTCATGATACATTGTGCCTTATATAAATTTGAAAAATCAATTAAATTCTGCTAAAAGGGTAGCACAAGAAGACAACATCAGTGGAACAAAATATGTGGGCTTTTTAGTCAAAATGGTTCTTGAGATTTGCATAACTCATTCATTTGGTTCCTGAGATTTCAAATCAATAAAAGTGATTTCTGAGATTGTTCACTATCCATCATTTTGGTTATTCCATTAAAAATTCCGTTAAAGTGTCCCAGAGCTCTTAGCCAGAAGTTTAGGCAATTTTCAAAGCTTCATAACTCAATCGTTTCTTAACTAAATTCGACCCATAATATATCAAAATGAAGATAGAAAAGTATAGAATAATATTATACCTATTTGGAAGCCCAATGGTTGCCAAAGATGGTCGAAAAATAACCTCAAAGTTGACTGATTTGTGGGAACTCTTCGGAAACTGGGTAAACTTTAAACATTAATAACTTCTTCAATACTCAACGAAATCAAGTGATTAAAAAAAAAATCATACTTCTTTACGAGATGAAGAGAGTGGTACCTTTTTAAAAGGCTAACTCACCGTGGTTTGGCCGGAAAACGGCTCGAAAATGGCTGTCTTGGTCTCAAGTTAGCCACTTTCGAGCCATTTTTGGGCCAAACCACAGCTAGTTAGCCATCAAAAAAGGTACCATTATCTTCCTCTCATCGAGAAGTATGATTTTTGTTTTTGAATCACTTGATTTCGTTGAGTATTGAAGAAGTTATGAATGTTTAAAGTTTACCCAGTTTATGGCGAGTTTTCCAATTTTCCCTTGGACCAGTCAACTTTGAGTCTATTTTCCGGCCATCTCTGGCAACCATTGGGCTTTGAAATAGATATAATATTATTATAAATTTTCCTATCTTCATTTTGATATATATAGGTCAAATTTGGTTAAGAAACGATTGAGTTACGAAATTTTGAAAATTGCCCAAACTTTCGGCCAAGAGTTCTAGGACACTTAACTGAGTTTTTAACGGAATGACCAAAATGATGGATGGTGGACAATCTCAGGGACCACTTCTATTGATTTGAAATCTCAGGGACCAAAGTGATGTGTTATGCAAATCTTAAGGACCATGTTAGCTAAAAAGTCAAATATGTGTCAGACCATTACTATTAATGCAGCTAGCAAAGAGATCAAACTTACTTGTACAAATAGATGGCGATTCCTAAAATCAAAATCAGGAGGGTGATATCGAAGCAAAAGTTTAAGGTCACATTAGTTTTTGTAAGGTCAGCATTTGCCCTGTCAACCTGGAATGGTGTCGAAATAGAGCTCAATTATTGCATTTAAACCACTTGCCACTTGATGCAATCAACATCAAAACATAACAGGAAAATAAAGATTTCACGATTTCCAAATAATGAAGTTTAAAGCTTTCTAATAGATGAACGAAAAAAATGACTTAGAAGGCAAAGGGGTTACCTTATTATCTATTTCATCCATCAAGGGCACTTGTCTATCTATTTCCTGTACATAAAACATATACGATATAACACTAAAACATCTCAAGAACATCCCCAAAATGATGATAATGACGTAATTTGAGAGTGTGGGGTCCCTACCTCGTCTGGAAATCCATGGGTCCCCAGATTTCGTGATGGGTGTGGACTGTGGAGGTCTCAAGTTCGCCGACAATGAGAACTAGTTACGGGAAAAGAGAGTGGGGAGCTGAGGTGGTTCGCCGGAGTTGAGGTGGTGGTGGCTCGATGCTCCGGACTTGGTGTCGGTGATGGTAGAGGGAGAATGAGAGGGGTGAGAGCAAGAAAGATGAGAGCTGGTCTGGGCTCAAGATCGTGGCATCCAGGTGGTGGTGACGGTGGTTCGTCGATGTCTCAACGGCGAGGTGGTGGTGTTCCCGAGGAGTGAAGGTGAGTGAGAGAGATGAATGAAAAGGGAGGATGATAAACAGAGAGATGAATAGAGAGAGAATGAGAATCAAGAGAGTTAGATAGGGAAAAGAGATGAGGGCAAGTGAGTAGGAAGAGAGAAAGGGTGACGTGTGAGAGTCAGAGAGAGACTCAAATGAGGAAGTGAAATAGTGCATGGAAAGAGACGTAGAAAGTATAGGGAAAAGTGGAACCTTCATCCTGAGTTTAAATAGTTTGTTAAGGGGGCGTGGAACTATAGTGAGGGGCTTTCCCCTCTGGATCATTTCAGGGTTGTTAAACATTAGAATTGCATGGTGTTTGGCTTAGTTAAGGAGAAAAAAGATAAAATTTTAAAGCAGCTAAATGGTATCCAGAAGGCACTTATGTCCTCTAACTATAATGATAACTCTTCAGATAATTTTAGTGAGAAAGTTCACCTAAAGGCTCAAATTAATGAAAGACCTTCTCAAGTCCTTAAGGAAGAGGAAGTGATGTGGGTGCAAAAAACAAAGCCTAATTGGTTAAGGTATGGTGATAAAATTACAAGATTTTTTCAATTATGTGCAACTATGAGAGTGTAAAATTACTATTTTGCCCCTTATTGGGAAAGGTGCATAAATCGTGCGATTTACGCCTCATACGTGCACACATATTCATAAGAACACGTACTACCTAGAAAGACGTGAAAAAGAACAAAGAGTAATAAGGACTTAGATGTCCACGCATGAAATTCGCGTAGGATTTCGACTTAGCCGGCCAAGGGAGTTTAGGGAAATAAAATTTTAAAAAATGTGCGATGAGATCCTGCCAATTGGTTTAGAGAGTGTCCTTGTGGACCGACAAAAGATGGGCACCTTAGTAAGTTGATCGACAATCACCGAACATCATCATTGTCTCCACGTGTACAAGGCTGTTTGTACATGAAGTCCACATTGATATTCTCTCATATCCATTCGGATATAAAAGTGACTGTAACAACTCAAACAATTTCTTTCTGCCTGCTTTGACTAGCTAACAAATTAAGTTCTTGCTTAATGCCTAAGCAATCTCCTTTTTCAACCCAAGTCAAAAATGGAAGGGTCGGACTTGGAAATTAATTAACAAGGTTTCCTGATGATCTGTAAGTAATGTCACATCAATACATGTGAGTTGTAACTGAAGTAGGATATAACGGTTGAGTCAACCTTGTGCTTTTCTGTTAAGGCCTATAGTAACTACGTTTACACAACCGAGGTAGTACACGATGGTGCAATCGTAGAAAAAGATTAATTTCTTCCATCGCCGCCATCTATAATTAAGCTCATTCCAAGTGAAGAGGTATTTGAGGGGTTTAAGGGAGTTGATGAAGATTTTCGCATGTTTCTCCATAGAGAAACCGCCATCAAGTTTTTAGTGTAAGAGTAGCAATTGTCAACTCTAAGTTGTAAGTGAGAAAGTTCACTTCATGTGCTTCCAGTTGTTGGTAGGCATAAGCGGTTACCCTACTATGCCGCATAGCACGTAGCTAGATCATTTAGTGAAGTATTACTACAAATTCCGAAATTATTGGTGTCATCGAGAAGTGTAAGAACGATAATCGGAAAGAGACAACATCACACTTGTTAGAAACTTAATCATATTCACATCTCAAATGAAACTAATTGCTTTACTGGTCAACTTGTAAGGAATAAGGCTAAGGTGGAAAAAGTTAGCACATAATGCCAATGGTAATCAACGAGACCAAGGATACCTCACATTTCGCAAAACCTTGTGGGGGTCCCAATTCTTCTACAACTACAACATTTTTGGGATTGACAAGAATGTCGTATATTGAGCTCATGTATCCCAAAAAGAAACATTATTTAAACAAAAATGGCACTTAGGGATTTTAATTAAAGCTGATTCGTTTTGAAATTGCTCATACTAAATCATCGATGTTTAGAAAGTTTGACTTCATTATTGGAGTAAAAAAGGAAGTTCTTGATAAGGTTATCACAAATATTTTGAAACATGGGTGGAATGCACGGTTCGTCAGGTTCATGAACGATATTGGAGCATTTGTCAACCCGTATGACATTACAAGGAACTCACAATGAACATGTCGAGTCCTGAACGTAGTCTTAGGAACATCATTATTTCTAATCTTCAGCTGGTTGCAACCAAACTTCAAATCAGTCTCGAAGAAAGCTTAGGTTCCATAGAGTTGGTTGGAGAGATCAATTCAAGACATGGATTAGCAGTTTTTAATCATCACCCAATTGAATTGCTAGTAAATAATGTAAAATTTTAAGGTTTGGTATTTGCTCTTCAAGAATGAAAGCAGAGCTATCTACGATGAAGATTCAAGGAAAATAGGTGTTATACATGGACACAGGTCAATGGTGTCTCACACATCTCAATCTAGTGGTATCACAGGTAGATATATACGAATAACGTCAGGAATTTAGTTTGATCAGGTTCATAATTTCCAGTTGTACCAAATTGTTTTCTTCCTCTACAACACATGCTAATAGGCCTTCACAACTTTTCTTAATAAATGTTTCGCCTTTATAGCGGGGATTAATTTGTGCTTCAGTTTCTAATCTTTGCATGTGGAGGTGACCATAGGGATGACAGGTCATTAGAAAAATGACTACTTTCGATCGATGCTCCACCAAATGAATAATAATAATGCAGTCGATATATCTCTTGGATTACGTGGAATTCCACAATATCCAATGAAATAAGATTAACTGGCATTACCAAATTGGTAATGGAAATGGTGCAACCACTACACTTGCATTAGCATAACAAACTTGCCTTGTGGCATAGGAATTGTCAAGA